AACCTTCCGATTACAACCTTCCGATTACAAGACGAACTGCCAACTCTTGAGCCACGATCGCCCCATAATGGACATGGTCAAGATTCTGAGCATCAGAATAGGCAAAAGAGGAGATCTGAATGACTTTGAATGTGGCATACCAGTTCATGCCTGACAGGCTGGGCTGAATATTTCAGAATCTGCTGATCTGCTGGGGTTATACCTCAAAACCATCTCTACAGTTTGCAGAGAATGATCCGAAAAAGAGAAACTATCCTGTAAGCGGCAGTTCTTTGAGCAGAAAATATCTGTTTGATGCCAGAAGTCAGAGGAGAATGACCTGATCATGCTTTATTAATAGGAAAGCAACAGTAACTCAGATAAATTCTCGTTACTACCAAGGCATCCAGAAGAGGATCTATGAATGCACAGCACATCAAATTGGGTGCCAGAATAAACGCTGCCTGGTCTGATGAGTCTCAATTTCTTCTGTGGCATTTTTCTCTGTAAGTCTGGGGGTGAGTTTGATCGCATTATACTCTGCAGTAAATGCTAGTATATTAAAAAATATATATATTATATATTATATATTTAAAAAGTGAAAAGCCCACATGCTTATACTCCTGCCTAATCTGTTCAGTGGGACTGTCCCACTCACATTCGGCCAACATGAATCCCCGAACAAAAGGATCGTTGTAATCTGGTGAAAAAATCCCCATCAGATTATGTGTGAATGAGGGATTCTGTCACGTGCGTGTGGTAAAATAAGAGGAGAGGCGTGCTGCGAGCATGGAGAAATAACAGCAGTAACATTATGTCATCCAAAGTACTGATCCTCTGATAGCATGCTCTGGCAGAAGGACTCGGGTGTTCGCATAAACCCCATAATCTTATGGCATGTGTCCTTTCTGCATGTCTATGTATGTAGGGAGATTGGAGATAACAAACAGAGTTAGAGGGTGACAGAAATCAGCAGCAACAACAACAATTCTAGCTGTTCTGCAGCACGCAACATCCAACATGTCTGTGCATTTCCACTTGAGAACGTCACGGTTTTCATGGTTTATCCCACAGCTCTCTGCTGTGGGATAGCTGCCAAGGCAACTGTTTTTTATCAAGGATGTAAGCGCTCCGTCATGGCTCTCCTTCTTCATTAGATCATAACCATTAGTGTAAAAACAGACGCCGCACTAAGGAGTGGGGGTTTGGCCCCAACAGTCAATAATCTCTGCTGACACGATGAGGAGCTGAAGATGTCGAGCCCGCCTGTCAGGCTGCCAAATGCTCTTGTCTTGCTACCCTTTTAACCAAAGATACAAGCACTGATTTCATCCAGGACGCCCTCTTTGCATGACGTACTTAGAATGCCTCAGTGGTGTGAGTTTGCAAAGATATTCAGGAAGGATGTGGTAGCAAGGCAACCTTTATGATTATGGTTATGTTAGCTGCCACTTAAATTGGTGCCATTTTAGGGGGTCATACTTGAATTACTTGGAATGATCAGAAGCATATGAGACCAAGCAGATTAACAATGAATGAATAAATGAATAAAATTAAAAGGTAGTAAAATCAAATCATTCCATAATATCGAGACCAGATAAATGGATTTTATACCTCTTTTGCCCTTGGTTCCTCTTGTGTATTCAACTTTTCTGCAGCTATGAGAGCATAAATAGTTGTGACCTTTAACTGCTCTGTTCTTCATGTTCGCACTTTCTAGTATTTTATTTCCTTTTTGAGGAGCAAAAGCCTCCAGCCAGGCATTTATCTATGGAAGCGATCGGAGCAAATAAGGTGTATTTTCAAGGTTTTAAAATATGCATGTCAACTAATGGGTGCATTAAATTGTCATTCGAACTTGAATGTTTAACTAAGAATAACGAACTGTGGAGTTTTGATTTCTCTGAAGAATAAGACTCTAAACTTGTGGCTTTCTGTGTAAGTCTGGGAAAAAACCCAAAAATGCAGATGAATGACAATCCCAGTGCTGTCGGAGATAACAGAAAGCTGTCCTCCTAACTTTGCTGTAACACACTTCACTGAGACTTGGTAGTTTTGGGTATAAAAGACTTTTTAGTCTCCAGTATTTCTTCATATTTATTAATTTTATCCATTTGGGGCCACAGCCTGTCAGTGTGGCTGCATATACCTGTGTTGGTTCTGTCCAACTACTTCTGGTTTCTCCAACAATCTAAAGACTTGTATAAAGATTGATTGGTGATGCTACGTTTGCTGTCCGGATGTGTGTATGTATGAATGGCTGGACAGATGGATGGATGGGAACTGTTGTTTTTTATGCTATAAAACAAATCTGACTTAATGGGATTTGAATTGTTCATTACAATGATTGTAACAGGAACAATAGATTTCTGGCACTTCGTTGCATGTCTACCAGTGTGAGTCAGTCATCAGTGTCAGTCTGCAGAGCTGTGATGAAGACAGATTTAGCTCGCCGAGCGTTGATTGGCCACGTCAGTCAGCTACATGTCGGGTTCCTGTGCTCCGGTGACTTCAGGCGATTGCACACAGTCACCTCCACAGGGTGCCTGCCCGGTCTATCTGCACTTGTTTGAAATGGTGCTCCACATCAGCCTTCACAATTTACTTTAGCCAATAATCAGCTTTTTCAAATGTCTTAACAATACAAACTGATTAAATAATTGTGAGGTGAATATAGCTGCCAAAAGATTAAATGCTATTATGGAGCACTTCAGTCAAAGCGTATTTCAGTTATTTATTAACCGTCTGAGTGGCTGTTGTGTTGCAGTCTACAAGATCATAAAGTCAGAAGTTAACAGATTTTCAGAACACAAGGTGTTGTTTTGTCGCCATGTGTCTTAATTTGTCCCGAAAACAACACAAAGAATTAAAACTTTTTCAGTTATAGACGCAGAGGACTTTTCTCATCTCATTTTTTTACATTTCACATTATTTAAACCACACAGACGTTGTGGGGTTGGTCAGGTTGATATTTGCATCAAGCTGAACTACTGGAATACAAGTACTTAATACATTTTAATGACACCTGTTATCCTTGTATTACTTCTGTAATAGAAATCGCAGTTTAAAATAATCTGCAAACTGTACCACTCCAGAGATTTTTTATTTCAGTATCTCAAAACTTCTCGTCCATGAACGTGGCTTTTATTGTGAACTCCGTTGCGAGTTGGTTGAAAAGGACATTTCATAACTGTGGCCTTGTAATCTGAAAAGGAGGAAAATTGTGAAAACGTGACACAAAACTACAACAATGCTACTATGGTTTTGTATTGATTTCTGCCCAGCTTTAGCATGTACGAAGCCAACATAAGCTTCACTTTTGCTATGAGAATGTGGAATAATGCAGGCACAGAACACGGTCAGAACAAATAAAGGAAGGGACATTCTTGGACAATTTATTTTTCTTTCTTTCCAACTTTTTTTCTTTCTTTCTTTCTTTCTTTCTTTCTTTTTTTAAAAAAAAAAGTCCTCCAAGGCAGTGCTGTGTGAGTGAGTCACGGAGTTTCTGAATGGCGGGCTGGGTTTATAAACGAATGCCAGCCCTCAACACACGAGTTTGGAGGCCACTTGGCTTTGCAGTCCGTGACGGATGCACATGCAGGAAGCTCCATCAGCCTCAGCATCCTTACTTGTAACCCTGGCGGGCGCAGGAACACAAAGACATCGCTTCATCATGAGGTCTTTCTTCTTACTGCTCCTCTCGCTGTTGTTGGTGTCCCACGGATCTTCAGCCGTAATCACAGGGGTAAGTGCAGCCAAACAGGTGCATACTTCATGGGTAAATAAAACGATTATGCAGATGCTTTGTTTTTCTTTGATAGTTTTTCATGGACACTGCTACAAATAGCCTTGTAATAATGGGCAATATAGGGTTATCTATACATATCAAACTTCAAACACTTCATATATCTTTATCTATATCTGTCTATCTACACACACATACACACGCACACAGATAGATATAAAATACATAGTTCTTCATTGTGACATTTATCATTCACTTGTATTTTTTTTCATCTGACAATTTATCCCCATAGATAGATAGATAAGAAAAATCTGTTAATAGAATATGTAAATGTATGTTATATATACATTAATTTGCATTTTTAATACTGTAATAGAAAAAAAAATCAAAGACAAAATATTCCTTGTATCTGACCACCCAGCAAAGCAAAGCATCCATATATAACAACAACACCTAAATGACCAATTACACAAACTGTGTGTCATTTCAGATTCTGAAGCATGCCGGTTGATGACCAGTTTTTCCATTAATAAACTCATTTCATTTCTAAACTCCAACGCCTCTGCATCCTTTTTGATCATTTCGCTATCCGAGTCAAATCTTACATCCACACCCTTCCAATAAAACAGCCCTGTCTGTCACCACAGCCCTCTCGCTCTGCGTCGCTCATCGTGAATTGAGAGAGGAGCGCGCAGCCATGAAACAGAAAGTGATTTCCATCCGCGTCTGTCACATGAAATCACTTCTGTTCCTCTTCATTGTGTTCCCTTCATCTCATCTAAAGCGAGAGCTGTCACTCAGCTTCTCAGCTCTACACTCCAAGCAATAAAATCACCAGCAGTTCTAAAGCTTTC